GCTCACAGTCGCTGGTACGATATACCTATGAGCCCATTAACTCTGCGACTGGCACGGTTAAGGACCCTTTCAACACTCATTCCATATGGGACGCCCTTGATCGGTTGATGCCACTGCAGAAGGGTATCGACCTCGAATTTTTTAAACACCTGAAGCAGGACCTCACAGTCGACGACCAGGATTCGGCTTATCTTTTGGAAAATAACCTCGTTGGCGGCCAGATCCGGACTCAGAACAAGTTGGCCCTTGACCTTAAGGGAGGAAATTTCGTGTTGAAGACATACATCTACCCGGCTCTCAAGGCCCTTGCGACCGGGAAATCGATCAAGACATTGATGTTTGACTCCGTTTATCGTCTGTGCAGGCAGAACCCATCCCTGGAAGCTCCTCTCCGTGTGCTTGAGGAGTATGTTGACTCCAAAGGCCCCAACAGCACTGCGTCTCCCAGGCTGCTTTCTTGCGACCTGATTGATCCCAGCAAGTCGCGTGTCAAGATCTATATACTAGAGCTTAATGTTACATTGGAGGCAATGGAAGATTTATGGACACTGGGAGGCCGATTGAACGATGCAGCAACCCTGGCGGGCCTCGAGATGGTGCGGGAACTCTGGGATCTTGTCAAACTTCCACCTGGACTTCGAGATTACCCCGAGCCGTTCTTGCAACTGGGTACAATCCCCGATGAGCAACTTCCCCTGATGGCCAACTATACGCTTCATCATAACGAAGCCATGCCTGAGCCACAGGTATACTTCACAACCTTCGGCCTGAACGATGGCCGCATAGCTGAAGGGCTTGTGACCTTCTTCGAACGACGTGGCTGGGACCACATGGCTCGGACGTACAAAGACAGTCTGCGCGCCTATTAGTAAGTGTATCCAATCCGTGTTATGGTCCAAGCTACGGGCGACTAATCTGTTCCAAACAATAGCCCGCACGCGGATCAAGAGACTCTTAATTACCTGCATGCCTATATCTCCTTTTCCTACAGGAAAGGAACCCCATATCTCAGCGTCTATCTTCAGACCTTCGAAACCGGAGACTGGCCGATCTGTAAGTATTCAGCTGTCCGAAGAGAAAACGTAATATCAATCTGACTGACATTGTTAGCCAACTTTGGGATTCCGGTGGTAAAGCCTCTCCGTAGCAATGTAGGATGCCAGCATCCGATTTCGTTTAGCATTCCAATCACCAAGGCCCCGCTCTTGGGTGTGTAAGTATCGGTTCAATGCTAGTAACGTTAATAATCATCACTTATGACAGTTTTGCCAACAGTGCTTGATTCTTGGGGGTTATCTTTGTAGATAAACGATTCTGTCTGGTGATTATGATCCTTTGGCAGTGCAGAGATGATGTGCTGCACAGCATTCCCAAGAGCAAACCATGTGGTAGCTCTATTCTATTTCCTCCCTTTCCCCCTCTTCATTCCATTTTTTTTTTTTGGTAGTTATTCCCTTTTTGATTGTTTTCCTTTTCATTCTGTCTCTTATTCCCTCTATTCCTTAGTTTAACCTGGCTGCTTGAAACTCCAATGGGGCGACTCTTTTCCTAGAGTTGATACTTTAGTTATTAATTGTTTAATTGTATGAAGATATGCTGTACCAAGTTCTCAACGGCAGATAAATGAAACATGCGATCAAGTTCAGATAACACTTCTGCATCTGTTGGTGTCTAGGTATATCTTTCATGCGCAGGGCTTGCCTCTTATTGAAGGGAATAGATTCTGTTGTTTGTGGACGGAGACGTGGGATGGAGAAGGATGGAGCCGTCGGAAAAAAGGTGGCGGTAACCACGGTCGCCAAACATCCTCAAAATGGTTAGACCGTCCGCTTAGCATGTCTAGCCGCTTCAATACTCATACCACATGATAAACACTAACTAGTATATGCAGATGCCCAGGCGGCAACTTGACATGCCAAGACATTTTTGCCGCGCTCGAGCTGGTTTGAGCGCATTATGAACTATTTTTGGCCCAAGAAGGCGTCTTTTCTTTTTTAATTCTCGTTATTATCGCGACTTCCTCATATATAGAGCGGGGTGGGAGCAATTGGGGGCATAGAGTGATAGAATTGCCAGCCTCGGTAACCCACTTACTGCGTAAATATACTCAATATGGCTACCCCGTACCTACCAAGCGTGTCTTCCTACTGGGTATACTTCAAAAAATTTCGCTTAAGCTGCAAAGATACCGCACCGTTCAGGTGTATATAAAAGTACTTGACAGTCGCTCTTCCACCCCACCTCCATTTCCCTTAGTCGCCTGCTATTACAGACATATAGGCCAAATCGTCAAGATGTTCACTACCCAGCTCCTGGTCCTTCTCGCCTTTGGCATGAGTATTGTCTCTGCCCATTTCCGCGTCGAATACCCTTACTGGCGAGGGGACTCCTTCAAATCACAGTACACTCGTCCATGTGAGTCAAATGACATCGTCAAAAATCAGTATTGAACTGACATGGCTCCAGGCGGCGGCGTCAACGTCACCACGAATCGTACTCAATGGCCTGTCGATGGCGGTGCTATCCTCTTCAAACCTACTCACCACTGGGCTTTGACCTACGTCAACTTGGGCCTAGGAGATGATGATTCTATTATCTTCAACTACACGCTTGTCCAGGCCTTCAACCAGACCGGCAACGGCACCTTTTGTTTCCCAAAGATTCCCATTCCAGCAGACTTGGGTATAAGAGATGGAACAAATGCAAGTTTGCAAATTGTGCAGGCGTCAACGAATGGTGCGGCACTGTACAATGTATGTATCTATGTACCCTTGCATAGCCGGTGAGACCTTTGGGAGAATGATTTGCTAATGCGCTGCGAGTATAGTGCATGGATATCACATTCTCCAGTTCACCTCGGAACGTCCTTGCCCAGGATATGTGTGTCAACTCTACCGGAGTTGGCGGCGTGGCTATCACCTCAGCTCCCGCTTCTGGAGAGGGGAAACTATCCAGTGGAGGTGCCATCTCTAATGCAGGTGTTTCTGGCATGGGAGCTACTGCCTTACTTGCCATGGTTGTTGCTAGCTTGCTCATTTAGGTTATTCCCTAAACAGAAGTCAGTATTAATCAGTTTAACACAGAAATGACTGTATAACCATCTTACCTTTAGACGTCAATTACTCGCCACACACTCCTGTGTTTGTAATTTAGTAAAGGGCCTTCCACCTTCCACCTTCCCACCGCCAACTGAATAAACAATTAAGAACGTAAATACGGAAAAGGAATGAAATTCAGACTGAGAGTCGGAACTGAAGAAGGAAATCATGTATAAAACGTAAGAAATGGAATCAAGGCAATCTGTAAATCACCAGCTTGTTTGCATCATAATACTACATTGGAGCGCTATCATTGTATGTGGAAACAGACGCGCCATTAAGCGGAAAGAAATGACAGTTTAGCAATGTATCTCTGAATATGAATATCACAATAATAAACAATGTATGATATGCAGAAGATGGGACAGACTATCATGCAGACTCGCTAAGTTGGGTATATAAATCAACAACAACAAGCAATAATCATTGCAGTACATGTCAAAAAAGTAACATAATAAAATGCTCGTACTAGAAAAAAACATGTAAGAAGGTTACCGCAGAGTAACGCTAAAACGCAGATGCTCGGACGCTCGCTTTCACAAAGTAAACAGGGGTGTAGGAAGAGAAAGAAAAAAAAAACATCAAACAATTAAAATTTTGGCTCGGATTCAGGTCGTTAGAATAACGCAGGCGTAATACCTATTTATGGCCCATCTTTTCCAATAGCAGAGCTGCCGCTTCAGCGGTGTATCCAAAAAATACTGGCCCGTTAAACACCATCCTCGGTTGTGGGTTAGGTATATGGGTAACAGGCGCTTCAGGGGAAAGATTTGAGCGTGGGACGGAGTAGGTATTCGTTTGGGTATTCGTGTGTGGCATTTGATGATGAGGGTGGACATGGTGGCTGCTTGGTGCCTCAATTTCAGGTTCAGGATGTTCATCGTCTTCCACCGCTGTGTCGAGAGTGGCATTGGCTTCAGCATCTGCTTCAGCATCATTCCCGAATGTAGACGCCTGTCCAAGAGGGCTGAGGCGGCCCTGAGACGGCAAAGGCATTGTTGGATCTTCTTCTACTCCCTCCACCTTCTCATAGTGTGATTCAGGTGGGTGGGTAAAAGTATGATCTATGGCTGGTTGTTCAGGGGGGACATGAATACCCCAAGGGCGGCTTGGTGATTCCCCTACACGTACATCCCGTAGAGGGCGTTCGAAGTGGCCTTCCCGGTCATCATCGCCATTGGCGAGGGCCTGGTGTTCGTCGGGAACAGGCGCAGCTGTTTCAATTTCCTCAGGAGAGGTTGAACCTGCTGGTGGAGACTTATTGCTCACATCTTCTGCCCATTTTTCAACGCGTTCAACTGAGCTGGGTTGAACAGCAGGATCTGCATCCCCTTGCCCAGTTTCATCTATTTCATGGGGCGTTGAAAGATATGGCTGGTGATATTCGCCTAAGCCCTTCACCATATTAATCATGTTGCCATATTTGGCATCAATTTTGCGGCTTGTCTGAGGATTATTCTGGTACCGCCGAATACAAACTGAGTGACTTCGTGGGATCTCATGCTTGTGGTTCAGGAAGTACTCCGCCAGCTCCTCCGGGGAATGATCTCCCAGGTATCGGATGGGGCAGCGAGCGGACGAGGAGTGTACAGTTGAAGGCGCGCCTTCTCCAATCTTTTCCAACTTAATGGGGTCTCCATCGTCATTCTGACAGCTTTCACCATTTATATTTGCCTCTTCTTCTGCACCAGCCGGTTTGCTGGATTTATTGAAGGGACAACCAAGGGCACCCTTGATACCATTTGTCGTGAAATCATGTTCCATCGAAGTTCTACGCTTTCCATGACCAAAGGGACAAGTTCGCAAAGTACTGGAGTCTTGTGTATTTTCTAGCTTGCGTAAGGCAGCCGTCGAGATCTCTAAACTCTCGGTGATGTTTTTTGTTTCCGTAGAGGATATATAACCTGCCTTCTCCATACTAGTGACCCATTCGACATTGTCAGCGGCAGTCTCGTCAATACTGGAAGGATCATGAATGGCGCCTATGGTTATGTCTAGTTTATTATCTGAGCCTTCGGGAAGCGTGCTTGCAAGTTTTTGATACTGTTCAAAACAAGTTAGCAATGACATTTGATGTAATAAGACATATCAAAGCCGGTATGTGAAGCCATCAGATAATACATGATAATCGTTCATAGCTGCATGAGCAACTCTTGATCTAGAGCTAATCGGATTTTTCTCATCATTTGGCGTTGGGGAGGTGATAAAGCGGAAAAAGAAGAGCTACAACAGTAAAATAAAACAATGTGCATACCTCATCAAAAGCATATTGCAGCCGGCTCTGAAGCTCTTGCTCTTGTCGAGTCAGCTTCTGTGCAATCTCCAGGAGTGCAACGAACCCGCTCGCCAGAACCCGCAGCTCGTCATTCCGTCCGTCGGCGGCCTCAGCTACTGCTGAAGGAGACATCGTTTCGAGTGATAAGAGGGTGAACCGCTTATCAAGGCCGCCTATCTTACAGAGTCATCTTCCACGAAGAAGAGCAAAGGGGAGGGCGCTCACGTTGCAAGGAGGGAAAAGAGAAAGAAAAGAAGCGAACAAAAAAAAACAAAAATTGGAGGTTGAAATACTTTTTCGGGTTGCTAGCTCGATCCAAGGCCGGCGCCGGAGCCCGTGACTGGTCATGTGATGATAGACTTCTAAGTATTATATAATCATAGCTAATTAGTATTACTCAGCCTCAGTCGTTGCTTTTTATCCAACGTCGCTGCCAACTTCACAGCAACTATGACGGCATAAAGGGAGCGGATATAAACATACAAATACCCTAAACATGGGCTGAAGGCCGCTTGTTTGGTGTAAAATGTTCCTATTATCATAGAAATACTGGTCCCTAGAGAAGTCGTTAGCTTAATACAGCACAAATCCCTTACCAAAATCTTACTCTAATCTCAAAACCGCCAATATGCCCCCAATTCCCGGAGGTACAGCAGAGGCATTCGGCTTCACTGCTGTCGAAGCATCTGCAGAAAAGCTCTTCGACCAGATTGGGCTACGAGACATGCCTCCCCCGCCTGTGATACCCGTTTCAGATACCCCAATTCCCAAAACGATCCTAGCAGATCGCATACAAGGATACGCCAAAGTCCATCTTCCAACTCCTACCTTCCATCACTCTATGAGAGTATATCACTTTGGAATTGCCATAAAGCGCTATGCGTTCCCAACTTGGGCATTCAGCGATGAAACCTACTTTATTACCTGCATGTTGCACGATATTGGAACCACAGAGGAGAACCTTCGAGCTTCGCGTATGAGCTTTGAACTCTACGGCGGGTTTTTGGCCATGGACCTGCTTCAGTATCCTATTGATGAGCATGCATCTACCATTGTTGATCCAGAAAAAAGAGTGACTGCGTCAAATGCTCTTGCTGAGAGCGTTGTTGAGGCTATAATGCGACACCAGGACATTCGTGATACTGGAAAGATCACCGCTTTAGGGCAACTCATTCAACTAGCGACGATTTTTGGTTTGTCTACACCTTTTCAGCGCTGATGCTATCAACATTGGGGTTTCAATCTTTGCTAACCTTGGAAAGATAACATCGGAGGACACGAGCAACTGCTCTCACCCGAAACAGTCAAAGATGTTATCAAGCATTACCCACGCATACAATGGAACAATTGTTTTGCGGCTACGATTCGCAAGGAAGTTTCTCTCAAACCATGGGCTAACTCTACCACTCTTGGTACCGAAGAATACCCATCGCGCATCGCGAATAATCCTGTCGGGCTAGCGTATGAAAAGCTGGAAGAATGTGTTAACAAAAATGGTGGCAAGACTGTGAAAAACAAACTTATGGATGTTAAGTAATAACTACTGCCCTCATCGTGGAATCCAAACTAAGAGCTTGTTACTTTGGAGAGTGGAGAGAGTTCATCGTGTGCGGCATTATTCACAGTTCTTCCCATATTCGTTACATTACCATGGTTATTAATACATGATTTTATTGCTGCTATGTAATAAGATGAGCGTATACCTCAACTGGCCTCCATTGGTCATCCCAACTTTTGCCGAAGGATAATTTCCACTTAGTATATCGACCTGGTCCATTCGATAAAAAATTTTCTCTGAAAGCCCAGGCCTAAACGACATTTGAATACCATCAAGATTGTTGATTGACGGAGAAATTGAGATAAGTTAGATATGATGGTCTCAACATCGGCAGAAATCACAGACAGATAGATCAAACCCGCCAACTAAAGCTTGCACATAGCTACAATAACCGCGTGCGATCCATCTTCTCCATTCACGTCTCCGATGTACCCAATTCGACCGCTCTCGTATGGTGCAAATACAATGGCAGCCTCCGTAATATCGCTGATGGGATCCGGGTAGAAAACATTGGATTCTATCCTTGAGTCTTCATTTGCTGCATACAGTCTGCTCTCAGGTGGGACGTTCTTGAGATGGAGTGCTTTCTGGCTGTACGATGGCTGCAGCCCCTCTAGGCGTATTCCCTGGCAGTTCGTGTTGACATGCACCGTTGTTCGATGATAGCTCCCGGATTTCCAAGGGAGGCTCCAGCTAAACGTGAAGAAACGATTGAGATGATCCGGTTTAGCAAAAGAGCTGAAGAGGCCTCCGAATATGATTGTGCCTCCGCTCCGAACGTAGGAGATGACTTTTTCAAGAACCGTGGCATACTTTGGGTTCAGGAGAGCAGGGTCAGTGGCGAATATCGCGTCTGGTGTAGTTCCTGAGAGATATCTTAGAGCCGGATCTGGCTTCGTTGCTCGCTGAACCTTTGCCTTTGAAAGGAGGCTGTCAATAAGGCCCTTGTACATGTCGTCGAACCATGGTTCTGTTTCAAGCGAGAGGAGGAAGATGCGCGGCTGGCTGAAGGGCTCTTCAGCAGACGACTGTTGAGAAGCCATGTCGATTTAACGGGCGTCCCTGACTGTTCTAAATGACTCTGTTGGGTGAGGTTTTTTCAGATACGCGGAAGATGGTGGAGGAAAGAAGAGAGAAGTACGTGACGTGGACCTGTTAGCACGTCGTCGATGACTGAAAACATCAGGTAATTAGGAGAGGTATCTATCGATCTGTACTACCGTAAAGTTGGCAGGTCTGTTGGGGACGAAAACTAACTTGACCAGATGTCATCTCTATTAGCTAAATAATTCCCGAATGTACCACCCAGGCAGAGGTGTATTTCATGAGTATATTTCTGATCTAGTGGAATAACTCTGGCCGCCGCATGAATTGCCATTTTGTGTCATGTCATTATTAATCCCTGGGATTTTATGATAGTATTATGGGTTGTAGCAGGAAAAATTTTTTGTCTTTAGAAAAAAGAGGGGAGGAGAGAGAAAGCAAATGTGGAAATAACAAAAGGGAGGATGGACAAACAGGGATGAAGGAGTTCTTTTTTGTGGAGGGGATCAAAAGAAAGGGGAGAGGAGAAGGAAAGGGGGCCTTGGGTCTAATATTGCCCACGCCATCTGCTGTTCCAG